TGACTTTTCAAGAATCATACAACCGGACCCGCCGCATCCTAAATATCACTGTGTCGAGTGCCAGTCTTTACGAACTCCCAAGGTTGTTAAACTACGTCACCGCGCCTAATGTCATTATCTGGTCTGCAGTGTGAGTTATGACCCGCGTTTTCTATTATTCACCAACATGGCCTCAATTGACGGTGTTGACTCTTCACTCAAGCCTTTGTGTCTTTTTAGCTCGTTCAATCTCTGATATCATACAGATGTGCATCCTGTTCTGTTCCTTTTATCTTCTCGCCCGCTTCCTTGCTTGCCAAGGATCCAAAGACGGGGAAAGAAGTCCCATGGAATCCAATGCCCAATGCCGGTTGGATTGACGGTTCTGTAGACAACGATCTGCCCATGACTCGTCTCGCTGAAATGTTCAACGTCAATCACTTCATCGTCTCTCAAGTCAACCCTCATGTGGTTCCGTTCTTGGCCAAAGAGGAGGAGCTCATCAGTGCTGAAGTTCAACAAGGTTCTTCCTTTTCGGCTGGGCCGACCTGGATTCACCACATGGCGAATTTGGCAAAGGGAGAGGCACTGCATCGACTCCATGTACTTTCGGAATTAGGAATATTTCCAAACTACCTGACCAAGGCGAGATCTGTGCTCAACCAGCGATATTCGGGCGACATCACCATCCTCCCCTCCATATCCTACGCTCATTTCCCGAAGGTATTGAGTAACCCTACAACAGAGTACGTGCTACAATGTAAGCTCACAGGCGAGCGAGCTACATGGCCGAAGCTATCTAGGGTGAAGAACCACGTTGCAATCGAACTAGCACTCGACGAAACCATCCGGAAATTCCGTACTAGAGTTGTATTTAGCCCTAGCCAGGTCGACCTTCGTCTAAACAACTTCGGCCGGCCCTTGTCACAAGGCAATCCACTGCCTTCTCGTTACAAACCCTTGAAAAAAACCACTACTCCCTCAGTACCTTCGGTATCCTCCATGTCACCTATGCTTCATCGTCCGAGTCGCTCGAACAATCTCCGCATAAAGTTTCCTTCCAAACCTGGTCATTCAACCCGGCCTTATCTGCCATCGCATACCTTGCGGAAGGACTACAGACAACAGGAGAAAAGCAAACCACTCGATGTCTTTTCATCATCCACAAACGCTGACGGCGGTTCGTCGTCCGACGATGAGTTCTCTCAAGACTCAGACACATCTGAGTTACTTTCGTCGCCCTCTGCTCCGAATTCTCCCTCCTCTCAGCAACCTGATCTGTGGCCCTCTACTCGACAGCTGTTTCCTGCTGTTTCTCAACCTAGCACGCCCTCTATTTCAGCCACAATGCACGGCCACCGAACCGCCTCCCTTATCAATCTCGCCATGACAACGCCCAGCTCTCCAGAACTCCGGTATAAACGATTGTTCCATGCGTCCGACACCATGCATGAAGATCCTCCATCAGTGCATCTCAACATCCAGCACGAAGCCAAAAATACCATGAACATTTCAGGCTACCCCTTTCAAGGGCTACGAAATACCGAATCTGTGTCCGAAGCGCAACAGATCCCATCAGCTCCTTTTACAAAGACCGATTCCCTTCGCGAGTTGTTGGATCCTATCTCCGACCACTCTCCTTCATTGAATCTGCCGCCATCAAATAGCAAGACAACCTCTCGAAAGCCCAACAAGCAAGAGAGGAAAGATATGAAGGAGGCCGAGAGGAATCGGAAGAGCAGTAGAAGAGGCAGTGCACAGGGGGCTGGATTAGGCCTCTTGCTTGACATCTCGGGGACGCGGGGAATGATGCTTCGAAAAAAGAAGAGCGGTTTCGGGATTGGCGGGAGTCAGAGCTAAGCTACGTCTATCATTTCCTTTGTTCCTACATCCACTTTCGTTTACATATTTCCTTATTGCGTACAAGCGACTTATATAATGATGATGGGGTGAGACAGTCGGCCTGTGAATAGATTTGGGAAGGGTGAAACATAGTGGATCTGGATTGGTTGGGGAGATGCCCGCAAGACTTCGGATCATGTTCGCATTTGTTCTTCGTATATCTTACTTTGTTTGGGACGTCTCGCCTGGTTTGCGTTTACTATATATATTCCCTTCATAGGTTGCATCTCAGAGGGTTAGAGAGCATACATTTGAGGTTTGGCGCTCGTTTTGTCTTTTCTGCACAAGTCAGATAGAGGTCAGGCGTTTCGCGTCCGTGCTATAAACTATTATGTGCATACAAGAGTATTAAGAATAAGTAGTTGGGTAGGCATCAAGGAATATTACATTCATACTACAAAGCGTACAACTCGTAGATCAAACATGGTTTTATCCCAAAGACTGATGCACAAATTGGTTTTACATGGGGCATGTGCATGTTTGTGTACAGTCCTGCCGTTCATTCTTAGCCTCATTACACCTTTACAGGAAACTAGGCATATGAAGTGGAAGTGGAAGTGGAGGAGTTGAGTATGTGGTTCGTATATCACGTTCGCGCCCGTGCTCTGAAACCAAGGACGCTATACTGGTTTTTCGACCTCTGGCGGTGGTGGTGTCGGTGTAGTGGAAATTGTGGCTGATTGTGTAGGTGCAGTTGCAGCTGATTGCACTTTTGGCCTGACTGTCTCGCCCAGCACGCCCGTGACAACTGGTGGTGGTGTGTCGTCGTAGCCGAATTTCGTGCGGATGTCGGGGTCGTAGTCTGGATATTGAATTAGTCCTGAGATATTTCATGCCTAGTCCTTTCCTCGACTAGAAAAAGGAGAAGAAGAACTTGGGTAGAAAGAAAAGAAAAAAAAACTTGAACAACTTGTACTTACGTCGTCTGTAAAGTTCCCAGCTCGTCACGATCACCACCGGGAGAGCCACTATTATGGCGGTTATCTTTCGCGACTTTGCTTTGTACTGCGGATGCTTTCTGCCATCGGTCAAGGGTATGGGACCTGCTGGCGGGTGGAGGACTGGTCGGGGTGGTAATGAGGGTGCGGGTTGTGAGGGTCGAGGTTTCCGGAGGGGAAGTGGTTGGGTGGGTGGCGGTACTTGTGGGTTGAGAGGTACGCGCGGGAGAGGGATGGTCGTTGAACGGGGAGTGGGAGGAGGTTGAGCCTGTGGTTCTGGAGCTAACGTGGTAAGTTTGGGCGTTGGTGTCGTGGGAGTAGAGATTGGAGCTGGTTTCGCAGGAGCTGCGAGGGGTGTGGATTTCGATGTAGGTTTTGCGTTGGAGGGTGCTGGTGTCCTGGCTTGAGGTGCCGTGAGCGGCTTGGTGGGTTGTGATTGTGATTTTACTCCGTCTTTCTTGTTTTGGACCGCTCGTACTTGCTCGAGTATCTTGCTTTGAGGTGCTGCTGCTGGAGCTGAGGGTTTTGTCGGAGCTGAGGGTTTTGTCGGAGCTGAGGGTTTTGTCGGAGCTGAGGGTTTTGTCGGAGCTGGAGCTGGTTTTTTGGCCGGCGCAGGAGGTGCTGCTTTCCGCGTTGTAGGCGGAGGAGGCGAAGCTTTCGCGGTTGGAATTGGAGCCGGCGCAGGAGCTGCAGCTATTGGTTTCTGCTCAGGTATCGTCGGTCGCGGTACACTCACTGTGTCCACTGGTGTAGGCTTTTGCGTTTGCGCCGGAGGAGCTGGAACTGCCATCTTAGCCGTTGTCTTCGCCCCTTTTACAATCGCTTCCTTCGCCTTCCCAACTGTATCCGTGGCCTTACTCGCCGTACTCTTGACTGCACTGGCTGCCTTCGTCACTGTCTTCTTCCCCTCCTCCAATGCGCCTGTCTTCTCATTATTCGCTCCCACTGGCGCTTTTGTGGATATAGTCGCCTTCTCCGTGCTCTTGACCTCCACCTTGTCTGCGACTACAGGTGTCCTCTTTGGCCGTCCGCGCTTCTTCACTACGTCGGGCGCCGGGGTCGCCATTGTGTTGCAAAAGTGATTGTTGTGGCAATCGAGTCTGCAGACGTGGTAAGGATAGGAATTGAGTATGGCGACGCCAAGATGGGAGGGCGCAAACCGTCGGGGGGTGTGTGTGTGAATGTGTGTGAGTCGAGGTGGTCTAGGAATTTTGCGACTAATATGTAAAATTTGGGGTTGGGGCGAGTAGAGAGATGGCGGGATGGAAAGCGGGCACAGCAGCACAACAGGGTAGGGGCAGGGACCACCGAGACAAGGCTGTTATCGATAGGAAGGCTGCTCCGATGAGGGGGATACGTAGTAAATTTTTGCGTCTTGTTCTTGGATTGAATAAACTCATCTATCATGTGCTGAGTTATCAAACTGCTTTGTGTCGCTCGTATGTATTTACATGGTGACCACCAGTCTGTGGACACAAAAGGACAGCCGCCTCGAAAATTGACGGATTTTGACAGTTTCTGAGCTTAGCAGGGGAGAGCCATGTCCAAGGCCTCAAGCCTTCAGATCAAGATGGGCGAATAGAAAGCTTGTCAGCCAAAAAAAAAAGAAAAAAAGTGCGGCTGTCGTTTTTCAGACTTGGTTGTGTTATTAATAATATTTTCTTCGAGTAATAATACTTGTCGGTCCGTTTCCTTTTGAAACTACTCTGTACGTCACTGTCCCTCCAAAGGAGCGCAAGATTTATTAATACTCACTATTAGAGAAGCACTCTGTAGATACATGGAATCAGGTTCTCTTAAAGTAGCAATTCTCTCAATCATATTGTCCTCCCATCCTTTGCCTTCTCTATTCCCTCTAGTAGTAGCACTAGAGTTGGAATAGTAAAAACTTACTCATACTGTCATGCTTCTACTAATAATAATACCCCACCTCTCCAATCCGTTGAACGCCCATTCCACACACATGTCCCACACTAATTATGACCCACGTTTCTCCACTTCCGCCCCAGCTCTAATTTGCCTATTATCCACTCAGCGGGTGATAACTACCGACCGCTCTTGAGAAAGAAAGAAAGAAAGAAAGAAAAAAGGTTTGCAAGATCCAATCCACCTATATAATCGTCTAGTACGTCACTGTTCAGAATCGAAAAATCAAAATTACTCTAGTTTTACGATCAAAACGTCTCCTTGGTGTAGTTGGTTATCACGTGGGTCTCATATCTACCACAATATGACTTGCTTTTCTTTATAGCAGGGAAATCCCAAGGTCGCCAGTTCGAGTCTGGCAGGGGACAAATAAAAAACAAGTTTGATTTTTTTTTTCTTTCTTCTTTCGCCCTCTTGGTGTACCATATTATGGCTAGCTAGATCGTGTCCATGGGGTAATAATTATCTATATCTCTTTTTGTCATTTGTTTGGGTCAAATTTGAATCTTGATATACAATAATAGGACCATGGGAACAGAATAATATACTTTGAATTTTTCTTTTCATCAAGTACTTACTATATATATACATGTTCGACAACGTAGATAGAGCATATGTAATATGAGATTCAATTTTTAAAACTCTATGCAGTGATGACACAATACTTCAACTATCGCATTTCATCCCAATGCAGAATTTATTACAGCAAAAAAACTCCGCTATGGAATGCATCCGGGATACAGCAATGCTTCTAACACCCCCATGGCCCCGTTTCCCCAACGCGATGCGATGCGATGCAATGCAATGCAACAATACGATAATGAGACCCTTCTTCTCATTTGCATACCTACCCCAGCCGTCTCTACTCTACTCTACTCCGAAACCCCATGAGCCATAATCTTCTTTCCTTATCCCTCAAAACAACGTCATGTACAAACTTAAAGCAAACTTAGAGCAAATCAACAACAAGCGTCATAATCCCCGCTGCCCACACAGCCTGTGCAACGTCCTTCTTCGTTTCGACCCACACGGTCTCGTTCCAGCTAGTAGTCTTGATGTCCACCAAGCCTGTCGACCGCATTCCACGAACACTGTACGGTATCGGCTCAACCCAATCCAACCCACCTGCATTACTCGGTGTCATCACGCTCTCAGCAGGAGGCGACCCGTCACTACTAGTATCAAGTGCATTGGCTGCAGCTGCGAGGCCTCTGAGAGCCTCATTCCCGTTGACTTGCCTCAATGCCGGGTAAGTAGCCATGGCAAGTTGTATCAGGAGATTGATTTCCTGCTTGAGTTCGGCCAATGAGTAGGCAAGCAAATTGTTATTTTCGACGCGCTTGATAGGGCAGAGTTTGATGCCCGACTTGGTGAGATAGATATTGATCGTGTGTAGCTCTGCATCGGAAGTTTCTGGCAGCGGACGTTCTTTGGGGAGGAGATGCGGCACGGCGGTGTTGAGGCGCTTGATGGATTCGAGGGCGTACAAGGGAGTGAAAGGGAGAGGTGACGTGATAGATGGAAGGGCATCCTCGGTCGAAGGCGGCGATGATTGTTGGCGAGGCGCCTGATGTTGAGCGGGGAGAGGCGGCGGCGGTGTTGAAACACTCATCGGTTCAAGAGCCCTCTGAGCGTGCTCCTGCTCCTGCTGCTGATGCTGATGCTGATGCTGATGCTGGTGCTGATGCTGGTGCTGATATCCTCCACCATCTACCCCCTCCGTCTCAATACTGCCCTCTTTCCTCTTTCCACTTCCCTTCCTTGTTTCGATGGCATACATTCTCTGCCTCTCATTCGTAACCATGCGCCTCAACAGCGGCGTAACAAGACTGATGATTTTATTTCCATCCCTCGGCCACACCAGCTTTCCCTCACTTCCCACCTTTTCCTCGCCCAAAGCCTTCGCAGCCTCCATAGCGTCGCGCTCACCCGGCTTTTCGACATTCTCACCAAAGAACTGTTCACCAACACCATCCTTCAGAAAATCGCGGACGCAGTTGAACAGACGTAGCTTGACCATGTCCGTGTCACCCTTACCTCTATTACCAACACACGATTGACGGTCGGGATGGTTCGCGTCGAGCATGTAGATTTTGGCTTGCGCTTGGAGGTGAAGGAAATTCTCAGGCGTGAGCTGGAGGGACATGAAGAGCTTCGACATGGGTGGGCGCGTGTACTTGCGAGATGTCTCCTTGGACGAGCGACGAAAGAGGGCGGCGGCAGAATGCACGCCTGCTGCGCGAGCATCGCTCAGAAGCGTCTCGCTGGTGGGAAGCAAGGCGTTGCCGTATGATACTGTCACGTTACCGTCTGAACTGTGAAGATGCAGGTCCGTTGGCCCATCTATCCTGGCACGCTTGGGATAGGAAGTTGTATCGCACTGTGCCCTTGTATCCTCTTCACTCTCTGCCGCGGGAGGACTTTCCACTCTCTTCCTCTTCCCATTCCCGTTATGCATGCCCACACCACCACCACCACCACCAATCGTATCCATACTGTCCTTCCCCTGACCGGCAGCCGTAGTAGCAGCCTCGAGCAATTCAACAAAATGGTGGTTCTCCTCGAGCGAGCCCGTATTATCGTGAACACCAACAGCGTTGTGAAGGTCGGAGTCGACAGCGTAGAGAGCATGCGCAACATTGGGCGGCGAGGTGACGGGCACGGAGAGGTCATATTCGTCGTTGTCTGGCGCGAAGCCAACATGGGCGTTTGTGTCGTTTCCGTTGCTGAACTGGCCTTGGTTGTGGCCATTCTGTCCGCGTACTTGCACCTGCGCATGATAGTACGGCGCGTTTGTGGTCGATGTCGACATGATCAAACACGATCTGTCGGTCGATGAATCGCTCAAGCCCACCCACCACCTTTGCACCCAAGGCACAAGCGTGAGCTCTTTCTCTCTTGATGTGTCTTCCGTCTTCCCCACTCTGGATCAAACAAGCAAGCAAGCAAATTATGAGGCGTCGACAATGTCGGTCTGTCCGTCCGTCCGTGGTCTTCGAGCTTCGAGTTCGATATCGTCAAGGAACGCGCTGATGGAAGACTGCCACCGAATCCTCGAGCGTGGACAAGAAGAAACAAAGAGCTTTTGAATGCGGCACCATCATGTTTGGTTTGAAGCGTCGGGCAATTGCGCACCTGTGGAGCGCTGATTGCTCGGTCAATTGCTCGGGAAGGCAAGCAAAGACAGAGCGCGGCGAAGCGAAGCGGTGGTTTGTCGTGATGTCGGTGGGGACGTTTGTGTTGTTTGCATTGCATTTGCACGACGAGGACGGCCGAGGACGGACGGACCCCGTGGTTAATTAATTATTAGTGTCACGGTTGCATTCCTGGGCATCACCATTTATTTCATTGATAATAATAATTATGGTGCTCAAGAAAATCACCAAAATTGGACAACGTTACATGTTCTGTAATATTCAAGTATGAAAAACATCTTGAAAGTCCGTTCTTTTACAAGTCTACACAGGTGTCAGCGTCGGAAGACGACTTCGATGCCCCCCATGTCGATGTCACTGAACTCTGGTTCGAGGGCAGCGCAAGCATTCAAGGTACCAAACTTGACAAGCACACAAACGCAGAGACTTAATCACGCAATTGGTCAGATTCAAAGTTATCCATGACTGATAAAGCTCATCAGTTTTTTCCGTTTGCCACGTAAGACTGAGGATACCTGCGAACGGATTATATGCCTTGCTCCAAACACACCCACCAAACCCCCCATATATGGATGGATACAGCAAGAAGATCACAAATTCCTAGGAGAAAGCCCGGTGCGCCCACCCCCCTGGAATGCAAAATATCAACCCACCTGCCAAATACTCAACATTGGAAATCATTGTCTTTCCTCCATCGTTACATGTCGTTCTGGATATGTGTATGCTTTAAAAGTCATCGCCCTCTTTCCACTCTCTCCCCGCTTCAAAGGCACGATTCTTTGGATCGTCACCCCTCTTCCGCGCCTCGTCTTTGAGGCCGTCGACTATCGATCGTAGCCTCTCGATCTCCTTCTTCAACTTCTCATCCAACCCCTTCTCGGGCACATCCAACTGCGCCGCTTCCTCGAATCGTCCCTCTTTCTTCGCATCCTCGATTGCTTTCCCCTTATCCTTCCATTCTCTCAAATCCCTTTCCCGATCACTAAATTCATTTTTCCTGTCAATGAACTCATTGAACTCATTCTCGCCTCCAAAACAACTTCCGAATTGGTCGCAGAAGCATACATGCTCTTTCGGGCACCATACACTCTCTCCAGTGAAAACAAACTGCCATATGTACTCCCATATTCTACCAGAGAGGAAATCGGGAAGCTTTGTGCTGAAGAGCCAGTCTCGGTACCACACGTATTGGGTCAAGGGTTTGGCTTGGATTCGCTCTCGCGAGAGTGCCATTTGTGCACAGCAGGGTTGTGCGAGGACAGCGGGTACTTCATCGAGGGGGAAGAGTTCACTCCAGGATTTTGCCAGAAGAACCTCCTCCTGCTTGAATACGTTTTCCTCTGTTTCGCCAGGGTGCATCCAATCCGGACATCCGGGGTACCAACTGCATCGCATGTTGACAAAGCCTTCTCTCCATACTCTTTGCCGGCTTAGCCGCTTGATCAGCTCCCCAGCATTGTTCCCCAGTATGTCATCGTTGTGCCACGTGTATTGATGGGCGTGCATGAAGATGGCGACATCGGGGAGATTGTCGTAGTTATCAATGATCCAGGACAGATAAATCATGACCTCATGTCCCTTGTTCTTCGGCGGATGCAGCGGTGCAGTCGGATCATCAGCGACGTAAACCGCCTTCGGTTGATTAGGGATTTCGCCGTCCATCCAGCCTATGTCCTCATCCTTTGTCTTTGCGATGACCAGAATGGATGTGTAGTTATGACCCGGGGGCATCGGACTGCCCTTTTGAAAATTCGCTTTTGGGTTCCAGTTCGCATAGTTGGGGTCATGTTGCTGTTTCCCTCCCGCGGGCACGTCAGCTCCTGGTGTATCGTCTCCGACATGCTCTCCTAGCCCGACCTTCTGCGGTATCCCTGATAATGTCTTGTGCACTGCTGTGCTCGAGTAGAGGAAGAAGGCGAAAAAGAGAATGAAGCTAAGGGTGAGAAAGGGAACGAGATTCCGTTTGATCATCGTGTGGGAGTGTTGGGGAGAGCCGGTGGCGGCAGCAGCGATGCTAGAGGCGCCGTAAGCAGATTCTTAACGAGGGATGTTGTTCGTGATTGCGCAGCTGGGAAACATTTAGTATGTAGAGCGAACGATGGCAAGGACGTCGTCGTATGCACTCACTTCCGGATAATGGACAATGCTTGCGCGGTTAATAAAAGTGGCGCGACGGAAACAAAAGGAGCGACTGATAAGAGGGATGAAACAAT